TACTTCTTAACTTTAAACTTAAACTTAATTAAGTATTAGTTATTATTCGTTGTCGTACTACTAGTATAATTAATTTATTACTATAGTAGTAGTGTAGTGTCTCTCTCTCTCTCTCTCTCTCTCTCTCTATATATATATATATATATATATATATATATATATATGCATGCCATGTATTTCACACCTATGTGATTCGTGGCGAATTGCAGTTCTATTCTATCCTCAGAAAGCTGGAATGGTGTGCCGATAACCCCTGCATTATTACTTCCAGTAAAGAAGAAGAGATGATCAATTCCATCCTTCTAATTTAATGAAACAAGAAAAGCCATTTTATTTTACAAACAGTGAATAAAAAATAAGTTTAGGAGCCGATTCTTCTCGACATAGTAGTCTTTTGAGTTGTAAAAGTGTGGAAGTTGGGTTTTCCCAAGTTTTAAATATACTCAGTGAGTTGACAATCAGACTCTCTTAGTCTTACTGCCAAAGGTGAGTTTTGCCTTTTTGTTGCTTTTCTTTTTACTTTTAAGCTGGTGCATTTCTTCAACTCTTGCTCACTCAAAAGCGAGAGGGAGAGAGAGAGAGAACTATTCTTCCGACGTTCTTCATCTTCACTATTTTTTCCGAAAAATGAAATACCTGCATGAGTCTCAATACAAGCACATCGTATGTCTTCTTGCAGCTGCCTGAATTTCTTATGAATACACGTTATAGCATTTGTGCTTGGGTATCGTCCAGAAACATACAATGCTTAACTCTTGGTACTTTAGGGATGCCCTAATGATCCTGTGAGTTCTAAGAATCTAAGCAGTGTTGTCTAGCTGTGCATGCCAGCCTCAATTTCATATTTTAACACATCAATGGCATATCCACAATTTCATAATTCAATGCTATTTAGTGAATTAGCAAAAGATGGAGCATTTAATCAAGTAAAAATATATTCATTACATGTGATGCACAACATCAATATTGCATCCACATTTCAACCTTACAATAATCATTATGTATAACTCCAAAATTACATATACAAAGTTGTCACATGTAAATGCTCAAAAATCTCATATGCAAATAGCATTTCTAGCCCCAAAATTGTGTCAACATCACACCAAGAATGGTGTTCTCTAACATATGATTACCTACTAAATTGACCTCTTCTTAATGGACAATTCCTATAACCATGGCCAATTTGACCACATGAAGGAACCTTACAATATCTAGGTTTCTTGGCAACTTCAATATGGGGCATTAACCTTTTTTAAGGAGGCCGCCCTTTTGTGATAGACCGAACAAGGTTTTTTTACATGGATGCTTTCACAATAAAATCTATTTTCATCCTCTTCAGTTGCTAACTTGCATTAGATGTTTCATCAACCATGGAAGACCTCATGCATTCTACTTCTTCAACATGTTCCAAAATTCTTGAAAATTGCTCCATAATGAACTTGTGACAATCATCAAATCTTGCACCTTTTGTACCAATTGTTGATGCTAATGATTGTATAGTTTTGACACGTGCAACATATGCAGTTGATGTGCTCGAGCTAACATTTGATATCAATGATGTAGAGCGCCTCCAACGTTTTGGAAGATATCGGTCTGGAATTTGAATAAAATTTTCCTTGAAGAGAACATGAAGAGAATGCCTGCAAATGATACTTGTAAACTCGAACCCTTTACAACTGCAATTCATAACATTATCTTCAACTATCAAAGAAACTTTTTGCCCTTTTTATTTCTTTGAAAAATGTGTCACTTCATAGGTTCCATCATCCTTTCTAGATGTCAAATATTGGAAAGATGAAATAATTTCTTCTTGCATCTTAGAAAAATGCATTAGGAGTTAAGATGTGTGCTGCATGATCTTCGAAAGAGCACATTGTTCGAACATCCACATTGTTGGACTTTTTTGGCATCGAACATTTTTGACCCACTACATCTCGCATCTCAATAACAACTGTCATCTACAAAAAAGAGACAAATAACCGTAATAAAGAATAACATGCCAATTTAATAAAATATCAAGGAAGACAATGAGATCATTATTTTTTATACCTGATCTATCAATTCACTAAGCGAAGTTTGCAAACCCAAGAATCATTTCACATATGCATTGATGGACCCTGAACGTCTCGTTGTCTTCATTCCAGCAAAAAATTGGCTTCTCGAGTATGGTAATACCCAAAACTCTTTTAAATGCCACAGGTTGTTAATATGTCTATTTGAATGCCATGCAAACTTATTGACTAATGCAGGCTAACCTTCTTCAAAATCTTCAATGGACTCAAGCTAATATAACTTGTAAAAATCGGTGTCAAACTCATTATATCTTTTACTACGGAGGAGGGAAAACCAGCCAAATAATTTTGATAATAAGTGCCATATACAAAATGCATGTTTAGTGTTGGGGAGTTCCTTATAGATTGCTTCTTTGAGAGCAAAGGCCTGATCAGTTAGGATTGTTTGTGGCGTCTTTCCATTAATTAGACCTACAAATGCCTACAACATATCATGCTTTAGAAACACTAGAAACATATACGCATGCTCAAACACACATCATTGGTAAGAATATCAAAGAATTCAAAGCACAAAATTTGTAGAAGATCACATACCTTCATTGCCCATGAAAAAGGTTGAACTCTTTCATCTCATAGTAGAGCACACCCAAATAAACAAGTGTCACCATGGTTATTGATACCTACCCAAATGTCCAATGGCATAGAGTAACCATTTGACCGGTAGGTTGTATTGAAAACTTCTACATCACCGAAGATCTCATATGCACGAGAACAAGAACCTTGTGACCAAACAATATGCTCCGACCTATTATCTTCACTTACTGTAAAATTGTACTTAAAATCTTTATCTCTATCTTTCATTTGCTTACATTTTGTTAAGAGAATATGAACATCATTGTCACGGTTGGCATTGTTCATAGCATATATAAAGTTATAGATATCCTTATCTTAAATGGTAATTCCCCTGGTTTAAGACCTCTCTCTATTTCAAACAACTGCATCATATTTCTAACATATATACCAACTTTGGAAAATTGTTGAATACGATGCTTGTAGCTTTCTGAAATATTACGATAAACAGGCAAAAATCTAACTTCTTGTAGCTCGAGAACATCACGATTGTGTAAATTATCAAAGGTTACAACATGCCAATATGAAATATCAGAATCCATGACTTTTGCGATACTCATATGTGCTCCACAATTTCATCTCTTTGATGATAGATTTCTTTCTCCTTTATTTACAGATAATTCTATGTTTGTTAAATGGCCCGCCCTATGGCAAACATAGTATCTTCTAGTAGTTCTTTTGCCATCACCTTCTTTTCCAATTGTTCGTTGACGATGCACTGAAAACCCCCATGCCTTGGCAAAACTCTTGTAAAATTCATAAGCATCATCATGATTTGAAAATATTTTTCCATAGTATGGAACTAAATCACTAGGAACTATTTCTAATGGGTTTTCTACAATTGAAGCAAAGCCCTATACAAGCATGGTTTCATTTGGAGGAGTTTCCAAATACTTATGTACCTATAAAAAAGGACTCAAGTTTGATTGTGAGTACCTGTAAAAAAATGACTAAATAGATAATGTTGATACATTAGAAATTTTTGGGGCTTGTTCATAAAAATTATAATGGCTAAATAAATCAAAACCACAAAGACATCCATTTGGGCAAAAAATGACCCACATTGTTTACTTGAAATTCAAAATCGTAGAGTCATACTTTTTTTCTTTTTTTTCCAGAATTATAACAAGCAAATCAAGTCATAGATAGCCAACCAAACTATCAATAGAGTAACTAACACATCATCAACTTTTATGTAATCTATATATCAGTAAATTATATATCAAAAAAGTTAGTAACCATAACAAGCAAATAACACATTACTAATCATATACTCATATTGCCTAACCAAACTATTAGCCAATTCAAATGAAAATTGCATAATCATAAGAGGCAGATCATATATTGTTTCCTAGTACTGATAATTTACTGGGAATTCATGCTTTACATTATCATCATCCGAGCCTTGTCCCTGCTGTTAGGGGATTCATGCTTTACATGCTGCAAGGAATAGAACAAATTTGTTAAAGTATGATCATGTATTTAGTTTTGGGGAGATCAGCTCCATCTTCTAATATGTAGATGGAAGTTAGCCTTTATATGCAATATCTACTTGTTCGAGTTCACCACATTGACTCTGGCAGCGTTCTGCTAATTGTTATGATGTTTATGTCATTTACAATACCTTTCCCTACCTGAGTATCAATGCACTCAGATATACCTCAGTCACACTTCCTATGCGTGACCTGCGTGTGCAATTACATGCCCTCTAGTTAGAGTAAGTGGGCTTTTATGCAAATACCTTAACAAATGGTGGGCATGGTTTCCATTTATCTGATGATACCTGAAGCGAACGAAATTGTTGTTTAAACATTCAAGATGGAAAAGAACTCCCAAGGATCAGAAAATAAAAGGAAATGATTTCCCCTGCAGGTTTTGTCAGGCCAATAATAGTGTCATCTTTATTTAGGGCTCTCCATGCTCTGCTAATTT